CAGACAGACAGACAGACAGACAGACAGACAGACAGACAGAAAATTCATCTAACCTGTACCCATTCACAGTTCAACTCTGAATGTCAGACATCAGCCCCGTTTGCTTTCTGTTAATGAAGCATATATGGGAACGGGGATTGCCATTTCCAAACGACACATAATGGGAATCGGAAACCGCTCAACGATTTATGTGCATCCACGTGCGCGGGTGCGCAAGTAAGCACATAAATCAGTTCCGCGTGTATCCCTCAAAAATTGGAGTGCTTAAAGATAGTCGACAAATGATAAAGACAGTTAGAAGTGGTGTAATTGTCTATTATGATAATACTATACAAAAGGACTAACCAGAAACCAGTTTGGAAAGTCATCTTCTGCATTCTGGCTGAGCGAGAAACAACAAGAAAACACAACACACAAGTTTGAACATGAGAGCCGTAGATTTAACTGTCATGTTCATTAAAATGATCGTTTGGTCATAATCCAAGCTCCTAACTCCCCCTTCAGTAGCAAGTTTGTGCGTTTACTTTGACAATTATGTTGGAGACACCGCAGCGGTTTCCCTTCAATGCATTTCCGGACCTCACAGATATCTATGTTTATATAAATCAACGACTCATTTATAAGTTAATTTTAAATGGGCCTTTGTTCCAGTGGAATGAACACTAATATTATGATCATTCTCTACTGTGCTCTCTGCATTAAACAACTGTAATCTATGTGTACTTGGAGTGGGCGACAGCCAGTCAAAGGCTTATCATGACTGGCTAAAGTATCATGTTTCTAACAAATGACGTGTTCCACTCGGTCACCGCCGCCCAAATATCTGTTGCGAAATTTACAAATGCGCACACTTCGGGTTATATCTAGACGTCCTCCGACTAACGCAGAAAGGGAAATACCAGAGGAACAGCTACTGTCCTTTCTGAAAATAAAAATGAATATAATAAGTTAGTTAACTCATTGCTGGAGTTCGTCAGAATGGGTTTTTAAGTATCATGGTTATACATGTCAAACGCTCGTAGACACGTTTAGTTATAAAAAAAGTCAGTCATTCAGTCAATTGGAACACGAAATCGAAACCTGATGCACTGCGTTGAAACCATTTTTTGACCAGAAACTGATATTCCAGAATGCTTAATTCCCACGTTGGGTCTCTAAACATACATTGGTTAAAATTAATCATTTCAAGAATTGTATGAAGATAGTTGATGATGTTTTATATAATTTGTAATTTTGAAAACACAGCGTTGTCGGTACAGGTGAAAATAAGCCGACTTTTCGGTTACCGTGGGTAACCTTTATCAAGGCGATTTTAAAATCGAATAGTTGATGATGATCTGAAACGAAAAAAACATTTTTACCAAAATCTAGAGAAGCTTGTGAATAACACAATGTTGTTGAACAGAAGACATGTGTTGCTTATTGATTTTGAAAACATTGCTACCCTTTCACCCTTTGTCCCTGCAAGTATGTTAGTCGCCGTACAAAACTTTCCGGCAGAGATCTGTCCCTTTCCGGGACTAGAAAAGTATTTTATTTTAATATCGGGTTGGAAAATTTACGTGATTTGTTCGTTTTT